TGCTAATCATCAGTATCCTTGATAATTCACAGACGCTAAAAAACTACAACATAACTGTCTTTCTGTATTAATCAGGATAAATGGACAGAAAGACTACTTGGTATTTCACCTCTCACATCAATTACAGGAGAAGAGCAGAAAACAGCAATTTTGGAACTTCTTGATCAATTTGAGATTACAGACAAAATCATGGATGTGTTTTGATACTACTATTTCTAACACTGGTAAACAGAAACGAGTAAGCATTAAACAAGCTTGAGAGGCTGATTTTCACTGCTGGAACATCTATCTAAGATGTTCCAACATCTAAGATTTGTTACACAAATGAACCAGACAATCCTCTGTTTAAAAAGCTTATGCTTTTGTAGAATTTTTTTGGATCTTGATTCTACTGTATTAAACAGAAGCAAAGATTGATTACATAACTGACAGCTAGTTGCAAGATCAATTCAAAAAAACTTTAGAGTTCTCTGAAAACATTATAAAGATGGTAAAGATCAAAAAATTTAGTACTTTAAATTACAAATTAATTTTAATGCTGAATTTTAAGCAGCTGTAAAATAATTAAGAGTCCATTATTCAGTAAATCACAGCTTAGAATAATAATAACATCATTAACATGTATGGCTCCTGGTGTGATATATAAACAAACAACTAAACAAATAAACATATGATTAGTATCATTAATTCAAATAAAAAAATTTTTTAATGACATACTGTCTGTGTACAACATAATTCGTGGGCCTTGACATTTTTACAGCTGATTCTTTATTATTCAAAAAGTTTAAATTAGTATAATGAATTTTAGTATTTTGCTATCTAAAAACTATTTCTTAGCATATATATATATATATATATATATATATATATATATATATATATATATATATATATATATATATATATATATATATATATACATATATATATATATATACATATATATATATACAGGGATGTACACTCGTGGTCGCCCGATGGCACCAGGCGATCAAGTGCAATCAAGTCGCCCGAAAGGGCGACTATTGATTTTTATTGGCAGTTTTATTTTTTTGTGTGTGTAATTTAAGAGATTTAAAATATGCAAGTAACTAATGCAATAAGTAACTAAAATAATAATAAAACTCTATTTTAAAAGTCACAATGTTTGTTTACCACATTTTCTATTGTTAATTAGAACAAAATACGAGTAAAATAAAAACAAAAACGTTTTATCGTTTAAACATTTTTTAATTTTTTTATTTAATTAAATTTTAGAGATATGTAATAATTTAAAAGATAAGTAATAGAAGTAAATTTACGTAAGTTGTGTTGCGTTAGTTCGCTAATGCAGCAGCCAGTATGCTTCTTTGCATATTTACTTTGTATATTTAACTGAACGCGTAGCAAGTCTCGCTCTCTTACGCTTCACTGCACTCAAAAGAAAACTCAAATCTGTTAGTCTGACCAGCACAAGCAGCGATGATAATCAAAGCAAATATGAAAAAACGAAAAAAATTCGAACAATACAACCATCATGGTTAAAAGAATATCATTGGCTTTGGCACAACAATATTTCCAAGTTGTATACAGAAAAGGGAACAAAGAATATTAAAAGGTTTCTAACAGAATTAAACACGGAATGCAAAAAAAAAAAAGAGAAGATCAGGCGTACGATGATTTCGAGGATGTCATGATTTGCCTGAATTCCCGGGAGAAGTATTATCACTCTAACCAATTAAAGGAAAACTACACTCAATCAAAAAGCGAGATCAAACAACTTCCATTTATATTCAATGCTACATCGTACAGAATTGAGAGTGTTGCTAAAAATTGCAAACCCACGAATACACAGCATGTCCTCGCGATGGATCGACAATAAAACTTAGAAAAAGAAAAAAATAATAAGTTGAGTGAAGCTCAATAAGTCAAAACAACTTTGTCGGAAGCTCAAAAAATACATTTGCAACATTTGTTTCGAAACATGGTGTATTAAAGGAGGGTAAGCCATTTTCAGATTACGAGTTTATAGTAAGATTGGATAAAACCAAAGGTGTGAATATTGGTAAAACATATCACAATAGACAAGGTGGTGTAGATTTTGGAATGGCAATATCAGAGGTTTTTCTAAATGAATTTAGAATGGAATTCTCCAGTGCTAAATTTTTTAGCATTATTGTAGATGAGTCTACTGATGCCTATAGATTGGAGCAAATGGTTATTTACATGCGCTATTCAATTAATGGAAATATCAAAACTAGATTTCTGGCAATAGACAATGTTACTCGACCTAACGCATTGCAACTGGCAGCCTTAATATTAAAACTTTTGAAAACCGAAATGCGTTGGGATCCTCCAGAGAAACCTCTGGGAATAGCTAACACTGTTGAAGATCTAGAAGACGAATCTGACGGTGAGGAATTAGTACATATAGAAGATGAAATATCTCAACTATTTAGCGATAGTGACAACAATAACGATGAATGCAACTTTGAAAGTTTCCTAAGTGAAGAAGAGCCAGACGACTACAATAATGAACTAATAGTACATGCAGAAAATATAGCGCCTCTAATGGTAGGTTTAACTACGGATGGCGCTAATGTTTAACTGGACGGAGACATAGTGTTCAACAACAGCTAAAAAGTAGGTGCAACAATTTTCTCACTTTTCATTGCAGCTGGCACTGAAAGATGCATCAAAGGAACTCCAAATTCTGCAGCTATTTTGTGAGCAACTCTTCGTTTTTCATCGAAATTCTACTGTTATATCAGTGGTTTATTGTAACGCATGCAAAGTTTATGGTGTAAAAGGTATTTTAAGAATTAAGTCTTGTTATATTGATAATATCTTAACATATTTTTACTTATTATTTTTAGGTAGTATTAAAAATCAAAATTTATATTAATTAATTTAGGCAATTTTATACTTATTTAATTTAGTATTTTAATTTTTAAACCAAATGCAGTGTCATTCGAGTTAATGGTACCAGATGGGTTGCACATATGGTAAATGCGTTGAGAATCTTATTAATAGTCTAAAAGCGCATATTAATAGTTATACCACTATCAGCTTGGAAAGCGACTACAGCGCAACACAGAAATCAAAGGCCAAGTTCTTTGCAAAGAAATTGGTTGATCAGCACTTCATGTCGAGGGCGATCTATATTCTTGACGTGTGTAGAGCAATGACAATTTTTTCAGAGTATTAATTCGCCACAAGCAAAAGTTATAAGCTTTATAAATAAACAACAAAAAAAGTATATTTATAATAAGGTAATATGTGAGTTTATAGATTCGAAGAAAATCCAGACTCTGGTTTTTACTGGAAGAAGCGCTCGATATATGGGATTGTAAATTTGCATGAAGTGATAAAATATGAAGATCGAGTTTTTATTGCTACATCCAAGAAAAAGTGCATTTTGAAACGATGTTCAAATGTATCAGATGTCTTTGCGGAGGCGGACAAGTTGCTTAACACAGTTGAATGGACGGAGAGCGACTTTTTTACGGCTCAAAACTACAAAAAGTTACATAAAAACATGCTAGACAATAACATATTATTATTGACAACGATATGCTGCGTCAACAACTCGAATATAAACAAGTAGATGTTGGAAATATTTTATCAGAGTGGATAATATTGAAGAAAATAATGGCAACTTGGACAAGTGCAAGTTCAAAATCATTTGCACCGCATCTTGGTCACAAATAGCAACTAATATCAAACCAGATAGATTCGCTCATCTTTTTTCTCTGATTGATTTTTTATTGTGCCATAGCTTAAGTTTGGCAGACGCGGAAAAAGGCTTTAGCGCAATAAAAAACGTTAAGTCAATTCAAAAAACACGAGTCAGTAACAAGTTATTAACAATGCAATTGCGCATCAAGATTGATGGTCCAGAAATGGAAATATATGATCCAACAAAAGCCATTAAACACTGGCTTTTAAAGCCATCACGAAAAAATAAAACTGGCATCAATCAAAAAAGAAGAGTTGGTTACATGGACGACAAAACTCCAGTTGTGTCAGTTAGAAAATAAAGATTTTTTCATGTAGCGATGATGACAGTGATAGAGCTGTAACAATTGATGACGATATATAATAATTTTGAACCTTGTTTATATTTTTATTTTGTATTGTTTTTTACCTTTCAAAATATAAATAGTTTTTCTTGTAACAAATAAGATCGTAATAATTACAACACATTAAAAGCAAAGGGTTTTAAAGTATTTGTAAATTGATTTTTATATTTGTCAAGAGTTTTGTGTTGTAAACGAACGTCTATTATTTTATAATATGAGCGCTCAAATAAAGTTTAAAAATATAATAGCATGTGTTTTATTTGAAAGTAGAAAAGTGAATTTTATCAATAGTTTTCAATATTACTTTTATTTGCGCAAATTGTTTCTAGTGTACATTTAGCCATATAACAAAAAATGACTAAAACATGCGAGAACTTTGCTAAGTGGAAATTTTTTTAAAAAAAATGGCAACGGGCGACTCAAAACGTTGGCTGGCGACCAAAATTAGCAAACTATTTAGTTTCAGTCGCCCTTCTGGCGACTGACCAAAAGTCCGAGTGTACACCCCTGATATATATATATATATATATATATATATATATATATATATATATATATATATATATATATATATATATATATATATATATATGTATATATATATATATATATATATATATATATATATATATATATATATATATATATATATATATATATATATATATATATATATATATTTATATATATATATATATATATATAAATTATATATATATTTATATATATATATATATATATATATAAATTATATATATATTTATATATATATATATATATATTTACTTATTTATTCTTTCAAAAAATTGTTATGAATATAACACTACATAAATTTCACTATAAGCGATAGTTTTCATTTTGCTGAAAAAGAATAACCATGTTATTAAAGTTCTGTTAATTAATTCAAACATTTTTTGTTTGAAAATCTTAAAAACAAGTTTCTTTACAATTATCACAATTACTGCTATTGTTTTTTAACTTTAAAAACCAACTTTATTCTTTGACTTTTAAAAAAGCTTTTACATATTGACTTTAAACTTTAATACTAAGAGAAACCAATACTTTTATACCACAAAATGTGTTTGAATGTCGAAAACGGTTTAACATGTTTCAATACCTTTTCTAAATGTCTAAAATACCTCTTGTATTTATTTGAAAATCTATTGCAACTACAGGCCTCGTTATTTCATATTGAAAAAGCTAAACACTAATAAATGTAACTTTACAGCTTTTATATTTACATCATTAAAAGTTAAATTGGCAATATCTATGATGCCAATACAAAAATTGTTTAAAAATGATATTGTAATTTGTTTTTTCTTGTTTAATATTATTTTCAACTCAATCAGTTCAAGGTTGGATTTATATTTCTTGACTGATGTAGACTCCACTATTGATGGACCTGGTGTATTGATTGAATGCATTTGTATCTATTTTTTCTTCATATTAATACTCAAAACCTTTATATAACTTATATTGTTGTATAAGGTCACCTCTTTGTCTTCGAACTTCTAAACTTGTTAAGTCTAATATTTTTTGTCTTAATTCTGGTATCAATTTAGTGGCTCATCTTTAAATGTTACGAGTTCTTTGATACCTTTTTTTATAATAGGGATTCTAAGGTTGAATCCCAAATTCCAAATGATGTCTAATGTACGTGCAATAAAACATTTTCATGAGGTATTTATCTTTATATCTAAAAGTATTATTTAGTATTGCAAGCATAATATTTGCTTTACTGGCAACTTTCTTTACTTTTCTTTCCCATTTTAAATCCTTGGATATATAAATACCTAAAATCTATTTCAAGAGTAGATTTTTCAATTTCTTTTAGTTCGCCATCATTTTCCATGAAATAAGAACATCTTTTATTACTTGCACCAAAATGCATTATTGTACTTTCTTAAAATTCAAACCCAGTTTTCATTTAACCAACTATTCATCAGGTTTTTTTATGTCATTTTGAAATAATTTTGAATCAACCTTGGTATAAATAGGAACGTTTATTTTATTGTCATTGCCATACAAACAACATCTATTAAGAGTCTGCTTGGTTAATCGTTTATGAATATCAAGAAATAAAGTTGACCAAAAACAGAACCCTTTGGTACTCCACTTAACACATCAACCCAATTTACCTTGCATTTTTCCATTACTACTTGTTGTTTCCTATTCGATAAGAATGATTCAATTTGTTTAAAAGGCACCCCAACAATACCGGAAGCATAAACCTTAACACATAGTTCTATGTGCGAAACTCTGTCAAAAGCTTTTCAAAAGTTGGTATACAAAACATCAATTGGAATTCCATTTAATAATGGGCCTGTTAAGGTGTCAAGAAATTCTAGTAAATTTGTTGCGCAGCTCTTACCTTTCAGAAAGCCATACTGATCTTTTGCTCATTTGCTAATTTCTTGTTTGTTATCAAATGCTTAATTATATTATTAGCAATATAACCAAAACTACTGTTGAAATCTAAATTTTGAAATATCTAAATTTGAAAAAGAATATATTTCCTTATAATTTATTTCTTAAAACAGTCTAATACATAATGTAATCATTTTTTTTTTTTTTTTCATAACATTTTTTTTTACATTTTAATGTAATATTTTTAATAAAGATTTTTAATGTGATATTTTTAATAAAGATTAAACAATTTATAGATAAACTTTTCAAATTACCAATAGGATATTCATAAACATAACATTAATTTAACAATTAATAACTTACGATTATTAAATACAAAAGCATCTAGATAATTTTTTTATCAGGCAACAATTATTGTTGCCTTATAAAAAAATATCTAGATGCTTTTGTATTTAATAATCATGTTTGTTATATTAAAAAAAAAAATGTATGTAATAAATGGGGTTACCAAAAATGCAGGATATTGAATATTAGATAGACTTTTAGAATATCTATTCCATTGATTGCTAGTAATTACATCATATTCTTGAAGTAGTTCAAAATTTACCTTTAAGAATCGAACAGCTAAGACAAAAAAAAAACAATAATAAGTTAAAAAATTATATACAGTAGGGTCCAAAAGTTTGGACAGGCAAATAAAGTGGAATTTTACTAATATATCAGCACATACTTTACAAAGTATATATTATGTTGACATATTTTGTCTTATGTGTCAACATATTATATACTTTGATTGGTATATAATATGTTGACACATAAGTCAACATATTATATACCAATAAAAGGTTTTCAAGTTTACAGTTATGTTTTGAATAAATTATGATTATCTAATTAACATTTTAAAATTGGTATACAAATAAGCAATTTTTGATATGTTCAAAAATTGCGAACAAAGTTTTTTTTCTTAATATTGCACAAATTTTTCAACAATACTTAATCACAAATTTATATAAAAGCAAAATCGAATTAGTATTTTTTAAGACAACCTTTACAATCAAGAATGGCTCAGCATCTATGAGGCACAGAGTCAACTAAATTAACATAAAAGCTGATAGGAATTGAGTCATATATTTTCTTGATTTAATTAAGTAAATCAACATGGTTTGTAGACTTGATTCCTTTCATTTGACAGTCAACATGTTCCTATAGATGTTCAATGGGATTTAATTCAAGTGATTGGGATGGCCATTTTAAAACAATAACTTTAGTCATTTTGAAAAATCTAAAACCGATTTGGCAGTATGTTTAGATTCTTTATCCTGTTAGTATATCTATCATCGTAATTTATCCTTTGGTTGAGGTAGCATAATAGTCTTGCCTAAATTTTTGTGTTTTTCTTGATTAATAGTCTCAGTAATTTTATGGAGCGGACCATCTTCATCTTGGGTACAACATCCCCAAACTATTACATTACCTCCTTCATGTTTAATGGGTGGCAGTTGGTATTTAGGATTGTATCTTGTACCTATTGGACTCCATCTGATTCAAATAGCATAAACTTGCTTTCGCCACAAAAAAAATTTTTAACACTGTTGACTACTCTACTTTAGATGCTCTGATGCAAATGCCTTTTGGGCATTACGGATTTTAAGGAAACTTATGGCTTTTTAGGTGGGCGTCTTTTAAATAAATTTGCGTGACGTAAACAACATTTTATAACAAAAATACTACAATTTATTCCATAGAAAAGTCTTATTTGTACCTTTATATTGACAGCTGTAAAACGGGGAATGCCTTTGCTTCATGTCACAAGCTTTTTATTCTGATAATGCGTTATTTTGTGTGGTCTTCCTGATTGATATTTGTTCATTGTAGATCTAGTAAGGTTATATCTCTTCATAATTTTTTTAACGCAGACTTATGACTCCATAAAGCTGTATTGTTTTACAAAACAAATTTCCATTTTGAATTGATCTTAAGATCGATTCTTTCATTGGAAATGAGATACATTTCTTAGATCCATGATAACAATCACTTATAAACAAAAATTTTAAATTATTTCCACAAAGTATTAGTTTAAAAAATCAATTTTAGCTTTTAACATTTTCCCTCATAAAATTAGCAATTTTACGGGGAAAATATTAAAAGCTTCAGTTTCTCTGCAAACTTTTGAACTTATCAAAAATCATTATTTTGTAAACCAATTTTAAAATGTTAATTAAATTATCATTATCTGTTCAAAACATAATTATAAACCTGAAAACCTTTTAATTGGTATATAATATGATGGTTTTAGTGGTATATGCGCTGAAATATTAGTAAAATTTGAACTTTTTTTTGCCTGTCTGTAAACTTTTGGACGCTACTGTAAGTAAAAAATAATATATAAGACAGCTTAAACAAAAAATTACTATTTATGTGTTATAATGAATGTATAATTAGTTATTTACGTGGTAGGATATTAATTTTTAAAAATTTGAAATGAATAATATAAAAAAAAAATTATTTTTTAAAAAATTTTTTGTTTAATATTTTTAATAATTCAGAAAAACAAACTTAAAATAACTTGATCAAATAATAGTATTCATTTGATCAAAGTATTTATCAAAAAACCACCTTTACTTTACTTTAAATATATTATAAAACTTGGTTGTACTACAAACTTGTGATATATTAATTTACAAAATGATTTAGTAAAAAAATGGGTGGACTTTTTAATAATTATAAAGGGTAGAAACACTTTAGAAAAATCAAAAGAAAACAAAAGATGTAGATTGACATTGATATGGCTAAGTATTAAAATTATTTTATTGTTTAATATTAAAAAACAAATAAACAGAAATTTCTTACTTAAAACATTAGGTTGAAGTGAGTTGGCATAAAATGTAACAGTGATAGTTCCACCATAATATGCCAATTGTGGTAACAATAGTTCACTGTTGATTCCCTTAGCGGAAACTGCCCATTTACCATCTAAAAAAAATTATTATCTAAAATATAATCATTCTAAAAAAAAATTTTTGAGTTTTTTCAAATAAACAAATGAAAAAATTAACAAATAATTTTAAAACTATATATGAGGGATATGAAAAATGGTAATATTTTTATTGTTAGATACCATAGTTATTTCTACTTGTAGATGATAGAGATCCTTTATATTACATTATCAAGTTACAGAAGAATTTTTTGTTTCAAAGATTGTTTGTGGTTGGCCTAATAGTTTTTCCATTTGCCTTTGGGTAAGCCAATATATTGTTTATTATAGTTATTTTATGAAAAAATAATAAAATGTAAAAAATATAATTTAATATGTATTTTCAATTCATAGGGCAACCATTTATTTTCATTTAAAGGTTTGTTTAAAAGCAAATTTTGGAAAGAAGAACAAAATACTTAAAATACTTCCCAAAAAAAAAATTTATGAAATATTTTTAAATTGATCAAAATTCATCTAAATAATTAATTTCTTTAAAAAAATTTCTTATCGTCTGAAAATGGCAACCAAGAAAAGTTTCAAACCTCAATTTAAGTAGGTTGTTGTCTTTACGAGGTCATAACTTTTAAAAAATTAAAATGTTTTTTTTACTAATTGAGAATTTTACAGATGAATTTTGTTCGAATTCATAATTGTAAAGTTTTTTTAAGTGCTATTATTACCCCTTCCCTAACATATATTTTGACCTTGAAGCCCTAATTCTATGGCAAATTTTAACCAATATGTTAACTACGGTAAAAAAAATTTACATTACAGGTTAAATGAATAAACAACATTACTCTGTTTTGTATATTTCCTTGTGATATACCACAAAAAAATTTAATAATAGATATTATAAACTTTTTTTATTTGCTGCATTAGTTAATAAAAAAAATTTTTTTAATTAATTAGTATTGCTCATATAGTTTCATAAAGGTCAAACATTAAAAACTCTCTAAAGGTAATAGAGCCTTAGTTTGCCAAATTTGTTTTTCAAAATGAACTTCAATGCTCTAAATTAAGGTTGCACCCTAAGGTAAATCCATTGCTGTTGAACAAATAAAAAGCTCTTCAAAAGCTCTTTAAAAACAAATTTAAAAAAACATTTGTGAACTTAGCAATACATAGGGAACTAAAGTTTTTGAATATTTAGAGGCTGGAAGAGAAGAGACTTATTTGAAATCTATGTATGAGAGAAGTCAAGAAGGTTTCCTAATGATTATTTTGATTTTAAAGAAATAATTTTTGAAAAAAAATTCCAGACAATTGGTTTCTATGATAAATTTGTTTTGTTTTTAATTAAAAGTTTTGGGAAAAATAAGTCAAGTTGACTTTTAAAGGTGTTAAGTGGCATGACAGATACAATAGAGTTGGATGTTCCAGTCATATACAATGTGATTACAGAAGAAGAATTCTCTTTGTAAACAGTTTGCTACTGCTTGAAGTTGAAGACGATGATGTTGGCTACAGAGGCCAATGGTTGGTCCTTGCATGTTTAATGCTGGAGCTAGTGAGTTTGGTTTTTATAGCTCAACTTCATTAATGCGGTGGTATAGTTTGAAAAACTTTTAGGCCACTATATGCCACTTTATTTTAGGCCACTCTATGCCTTCTATCCTTAAGCGACTGAATATTTATTGCGGCTAGTCTTTGGTAACAACATAAAAGCTTCAAGCTTAGTGGCTCTTTCTTGCACTGATTTGAGAGCATCTATGTCTCCACAATAATTGGGATTCCAGGCGGCAGAGCAAAACTCAAGATGTGGTCGTACATAAGTTATATAAAGTACACAAAAGCTGTTAATGTCCCAATAGTGGAATGTTCTTTTTAACATGCCTAGTGCCGTGTTGGCTTTGGCTACAGCGTGTGCAACTTAATCTTGCCACTTAAGTTGGTTGTTGACAATTATACCAAGGTCCTGCTCAGAGGTGATGTCACTCATGAGAGCCAGGCAAATGGTCAATAGAGGCAGTTGTTAACTCTCTTGTCAAAGAAAATGGCTTTGCTCCATGTGTGGGCTCATTTAAGTAGATGATCAATGTCCTCTTGGAGAGGTTGGTAGTCAGAGGTGTCTTTGACAACAGCTATTAGTTTTGTATTGTCGGCAAAGAGTTTACAGCAGTGATGAGTAAGGCGTTGTATATCGTTTATGAAGAGAAGAAGAGAAGGGGTCCTGTTATAGAATCTTGCAGAACTCCACTGAGAACATCCAACCAATTAGAAATGTAGTCATCTTGTACAACTCTTTGACTGGGGCTGTTCAGGATTGATGCTACCCAGCTACATGTACTTGTGTCGAAGCCATACATGCATAGTTAGACAAGTATAAGCGAGGGACTAACTTTATCAAAGGCTTTAGCAAAACCAAGGAGGATCATTACAATTTCAAGACAAGATTCAATTATTATTATTATTGATTTTTTCTTTTTTGTTTTGATAATTTTACCTTAATTATCTCATGATGGTATAGTTGTTTTTCATGTTTAACTAAATTTAGTTGTTTAACTAAATTTAGTTGAACATTGTTAAAAATTTTCATGTTTAACTAAATTTAGTTTTTCATGTTTAACTAAATTTGATATGTTTTACAAATATTTTAAATTTAGTTATTTTTTTGTTTATTTAGTTCTACAAGCTATTATCAATTTACTTTGTCTACTTTTAAAATATGGTTGTAACTTAGTAAACTGCGATTATTTAAAAAGAAATTAGATTGTCGCAATCAAGGCAAGAATAATTTTATTTTCCGTTCAAATAACAAAACTTGTTCACACCGATAGGTATTATGCTTTTTTTTCTTTTAATATGTAACATTTTTATTTTTATTATATAAATTTTCTTTTTCATTTTAGGTATAATATAATGCTTTTTCAGAAATTGCAGAACAAATAGAGGGCCCAAATATGGCACACAAGGTGTGAGCCCAAATTTAGAGCTAAAGCTCCCCTACCCTTTTTTTCAAAGGGAGTGTGGATCCTTTTAAAAGTAAAATATGCTGAGAGGGAGGGGTGAGAAAATAATACACTACATCTATAGTTAGTATTTTTGTAGTTGGTTAATCTACCAATTGTTAACTGATGCAGATTTAGTTAAATTTTTTTTTAAAAAGTATACTTTTTTATAAATATTTTTTATTGTTATTATGCGTAAATATATATTATGTATAGTAATTGTATATAATAAAACGTTTTTATGTTTAATGATGTTTAGTTTTAAAAAAATATTCTTTGATGAAAACTTGTATTGTTTTGTTGGTGATAAATGATAAAAACTTGTATTGTTTTGTTGGTACATAAATTTTATTGAAAAGGTTTATTTTGTATTGTTTTGTTAACAAGTTATCCTCTTTTTAATTGTTAAAAAGTTTTAAAACTTTTTCTTTTTCGAAAAAGAATGCTTTGCTAATTGTAAATAAATATACAAGTTTAGTGTAATAAATATAGAAAGAAAAGAACAGTATGGAACAGACTTACCAAAACTCATATTTTATGGGTCTGACCAGCTAGTTTATATTAATAAATTAAACTTACATTATTAGATCTTTACACAATATTGAATTAACAAGACACAAAAAATATTAAATTTTTATATTTGTGAAAAGAGCTCACTTGAACAGTACAATCCTCCTCTTTAAACAAACAAAAAAAAAGAGTTTTTTAGTTGCTTTCACACATTTTAATCTATGATGATTAAACATAATGTAATAGCAGTCCTAATTTTTAACTTATATGGTTCCAATATAATTATGTACCACATTTTTTGAAGTCTGTTGAGTTAGCGTGGTGAAACCTTGTTTTGTTAGAAAACTTTTTATATTGTTATTTTTAAAATTTAAAAAAAAAATAGATTATATTTAGAAACTAGAATAATTAAACAGTTTATTGGTGTCAAAAACTTTGCTTTACTTCTGGACAAAACTAATGTCAAAGATATGCTCAAATTTTTTCAGACTTACATTTTAAATTTTCCTTTATCTAAGCACCTGTCAAATTTTATTTAATATATTTTGATCATAGACACTTTTTAGATGCGCTTTAAGTACTTACTTTTTTTATGTCATTTCGGAAGACAGAAGGGTCAGTTATTTACTGTAATTTTCATGCATAAATACAACACTAAAATTATGAAGTTTTTATTTTATTAATTCAATGAGAACCTATCATTTTTAATTTTTAAACCTATCATTTTTTTTGTTTAATTTGGTATGGTACTTTACTAGGTGCTTCTAACCATTTTAAATTTCAACTAGGTGGCTTTAACCAAAAAATTTACCACCAGTTTTAAATTTTTTGTCATTCAGGTCTGTCTCCATCTCTTTATTTCTATTTGATGAACTACCATTCACCAACAGCTGATCTCAAACTTTGTTATTCCTGATAAAGAAATAAAAACTATTATCAATAACTTAATGGAATTCATTTCAAGCATCATATTAACTCCAAACTATCTGAAATCTACCAATATAGCTTTGCTGCATACTTCAATATAATTAACCTAGCTAGTCACAGTCTACAAGCAATTTCTACTGACAATCTACATTATTTTAAAACAAATATTTTAGTTTTTTATGATAATGAAATAAATTTTATTAAAATAATTGTAATTGGGTATTTTTGTTACTGCATTGCTTCTCTACAGGGTGTGCTGCTATTTTGGTTTTGGTTTCAGGAATTTGAAAAACCAAACAATTTTAAATATTACTTGAAAAACCAAAATAGGGAAAATTGGGTATAACAAATACTAAGATAAGCTAATGCCACAGTCACAGTGATATCTAGCAGCATTTATTATTATGTAATATGAATTTAATGCAGAAATAAATATACATTAATTCACTTGTTCTGTTTTGTTGCAGGCCATAAACTGTTGATCTGTTGAACAAAGAAGCAGTTAGACATAGGATGGTTTTAACTGTCAACCCAGTGGAAAGCAATCAACAGCCAGTGGTTTCAGCTTCAAATGTTATCGAGTCACAAGCACACAGACCTATGCTTCAAGTTCAATCAAGTGTTTCACTTTTAGAGACTCTAGACACTAACAGTAACATAACTATTAAATCTCCCTTTAAAGTGGTGCAGCAGGCAATTTTGAAAACAATTTCACCAAGTTGTTCAGGAAATAACATGGATGCAATTAGCCATGCTGGAAGAAAAAAAAAGAGTGCAGGCAAAGGTTGGAGAAGTCTTAACAACAGAAAATGTTGCGACCAGGCTGTTTAATGAAGAGAAAGGCAGATTGGCAAAGAAATCCAAAATAGCAGGTTTCAAAAATGCAAGCCAAACTAGTAGGCCTAACCAACAAACAAAAGAAATAATGACTGAAGAGATTAAGAAAGTCCCTAAAAAAAAAGAAAACTTCAATGTAATTGTTGGGGATTGGGTGCTAGTAAAGTATGCTGGTAAAAAGATAAACCATGAGTTTTACAGTCTTGTGATTGAAACCCCAGATGAAGGCCTGTACACTGTGAAGTTTCTGACAAAGTCACCATCAGGGCCATACTATGTTTTTCCTGAGAAGGATGACATGTGTGTGTGTGTGTGTGCAGTATAAATGTACTCTTTCAACACACATTTGGATCACAAAAAGCGTAATTTTGTTTAAGTTTGATTAAAATTTCAGAAAAAAACAGTTATTTTTTATTATTTTCATTTAAAGCGTTTTACCATCAGAACCCCTTACCCATTTTACCCCATAGACCATCTCTATTTTATACCTATTTTACCTCAATTGACCCTAGTAGTGCTTAAAATAATGCATAATAAACAGTCATTATTAACTAAATTTGCCTGTCAAATTACATACTTGTTTATATTACATTTTTATTTAAAAATATTTACCTTGAGGAGACACAATACTACTAATACTTGAATACAAAACTCTTTGGAAACGGTTGTTATTGATTGTTATGTTCCATGAATCACTCTCATTTGTTTCAAAACTAGAAATCCAAACACTAGTTGATTGTGAATTTATCTCTAAATTATAATGATTTTGTGTGTACAGTATATTTCACAGATCCATAACTTTGATTACAAGCATATAAATTTCTGCGCTCTTTGGCATAAAATTATATATCGTATAACTGAAAATATAAATAATATCAATTTTTAAACAAATATAAATAAGGGTAGGCTTTTTCAGATATATAACTAAATAGATAGCATTAAGCTGTCTACATAAAAAAATAGCAACAAAAAAAAAATAAACTTATAAAACAATTCCCTTTTGAAAAGCTTCTCACTTTAAAGCAAATGGTTGATAGATGTCTTTACTTTAAAGACTAAATGAAAGTCAGTGTTTAGAGAGACGTTAGAGTAGAACTATTCAATCTATGAGTAAACTATGTATTTAAAATCTGTCATTAGAATCAAGACAAAGCTCAACAGTTATTTTGAAAATTTGTGAACTATGACAAAAAGAAAAGATGACAATATGAATAGATGCAGCAGGATTTAAATAATGAAATATTATTGATGTGCATCAAAAATATCACAAGAAACTAGCAGATATTGAAAAAAAATTCTATTAATAATGACAGAAGAAGATTAGAAGTTTTATGAAGTGAGTATGATATCAAAGCTTTAGACCCAGTCCTAAAGCTGGGTCTTATTTATTCAAAAATTTAATCTAAACCTAAAATTATATTTAACATCCAGTAGATAGAGATTAAAAAGTTTTATTCAATTGTCGGTTTTTTTAAAAGATTTATTCTAGGTTTTTTAAGTAGATTTTTTTAAAAGATTTATTCTATTGTCGGGATTAAAAAACTAACAGACATGCTACTGCATTTCAAGCTAATCACTGAAACACCTTCTGAAGCCAAGTTCAAAAAAAAAACTTAGTTAAGAAAGTCTTAGTTCAAAGAAAGCTAGGAAACTAAACTCTGAGATGAAAGCACCTTGCTCTTTTCAAAGACTTGAAGAAGAAACTCCTGAATTAGAGAAAAAATAGAGAAATAATGATTCAAATATTGATTATAGTGGCAGGGCCGACGACATGGGTTTCAAAGTGGAGGAGCAAAATTGTAAACTTCTAAAAACTTACTTTAGAAATAAATTGAGAAAGTGCAGTTCCCCTGGCAACTGCCCCCTTCCTGTGTCATTGGTTCTCAGTGGAGAAATATCAAATTAAATGTCAAAGCGCAAAATTAAGCAGGGCTTTAAATGCTTGCTAAAACGTGTGAAAGGTAATTTACATAGCTTTGTCATTAAAAGATACAAAAATAAAAAATAAATCAATCTTACAAACCATTTAACATTAAAGTATATTAATTTTGAGTTTTTATTAAAAGATATTATTTTATACATATTACTAAAAATCTGTGTTTCAGGTATCAAATAAGTGATAGAATTGGTGCAGCTATTACAAGTGTAGATTGGTAAGTTTTAACGTTATCACCAAAGACAAAATCTAACATGTTATTCCATTATATGAAAATATTTGCATTACTGTTTACCCATTAGTTACCTTCAAGGCACCATTACCCATTAGTTACCTTTAAGGCATGTTTTTATGAAAACTGATATAACTAAATTGTTTCAGAATAGGGTTTAAGTTTAGGCCAATTCCAAAATCAGAAATTTGTCATACAAGACAAAAAATTCATGGATGAGTTATCCACTGACTAACACTTTGCTTATCACATTTGTTAGGATATAATCACATAAAAAATAATTGATGGTTTCACCCTTTTAGAATTTTGAAAAGTATTTATAAGTAAAAAAAGATGTGACTAATGATTAATGATAAAAAGAAAAAAAATTGCATGTATAGTACAGTACCCAACTAAATATAGGACCAATACAAACAACTGTTATAGACAAAACAAAAATTAACCTATTTTTTTTTTTTTTTTTCTATTTTTAATTTTGTAAATATTTAAGAAAAAAGCATGTTTTGAAAATTTAGATCAATATCCAACACAGTTCTAGAGTAAATACTACTTAAAGTTATTTTGCATGATTCCCTCTTTAAGTAAAAAAGTTTCTTTTGTGGTTTTTAACAACTAACTACTTTTGAACATGTTTATTCTATGATTCAATTTTTTTACGATTGCAAGTTTACTATGAATACTTTTGAACAAAAAAAAATTTAATTTATTATTTGATTTTTCTATAAAACGAGCAAAAGTTGATAACTTTATTTTTGGTCTATTGTTTCTTTGAAAAGCTTGATCATAAAAACTTGATTAAACATGTTTAAAAAATGCTGTGGATAGAGTACCAAATGTTTTTTTTATAAATTTTCTATATAAAAACGAGATTTGTTTTCAAAAATGAATGCAACTGAAGTTTAAAAAACTTCAGTTGCATTCAAAAGTTATAAATCATAAAAGTAAGCTGGATATAGATTTTTGAAAGATAGCCTGATCCTGGAAGACAGCCTCTAAAAGTCACATAAATTTTTCACTGAAGCAAATAAAAATGATCAAGGTTAAAGTATTAACATCATTATGATGTTAATTCTTATTAATAATTGACAAGAATTAACATCATAATGATGTTAGTCAATAAAATAAATCTACAAAGGTATGTCAAAATCATTTGTAGACTTTTGAAATGAGAACAGTTCTATTGTACATTACTATTGTAGAAACAATAATATACTGATTAAAGGTTAAATTCTATAAATGAAAAAATTATTACTTTATATCTCTCTGGATCTTATAAAATAATTTTGTTTGTTTTGATCATACAAACACTTACAAATACTCTTTCAAAAATCTCGTTCTCCGTCGGAGATATTTATAAAAAAAGTCAATCGCATCACATAACACGAACGTCTTAACAACGGAAAAAAAACAGCATATAAATTAAACGTTTAATTTATAAATTAAACGTTTAATTTATGTGTAATTCGAATAGTAATAAATTTTTTAGTTTTTAGGTGCTCCAAAAAGTCTTTACGGTCTTATCACAAAGCATCGAGGCAGAGCATTTGAACGAGATCTGTAGAACGAGAAGATGGAAACCCATATTGATGATTAGAAAGTAAGTTATTAGATTCAAGATGAGAGAACAATTGATTGTTGATTAAATATTCAAAAACTTTGCTTATGATTGGAAGAAAACTAATAAGACGATAGTTAGACGAGTCAGATTACTCTCCAGAATTTTTGAAAATAGGAATAACAGATACCGCTTTCCAGCAGGCTGGAAAACAAGAATCTGACAGGCACTTGTTAAATAATTTTGAAAGTATTAGAATTTATATACAAATATTCTTTATTAAAACATAGTTTTGAATCTAAGGGATATTTGCTTGTAATATTTATAAAATTTTAGGAAAAAAAAGTGTTTTTTTGAACTTTTGGCTGTGCAAACACTTTTTGAAAATAAAGATTTTTGATGTATTTAGGCTGAAACTTTAAATGCAATTTTCTCCTGCAGACGTGATTAAAAGATTTTATTTTTTCCTTTCAAGTAATCCATATTTCCTATAGAATCACCAAGGGGTTTTTTTGGTCATTTCCGAAGAGGAATTAATCCATTTTTGGACAACTGCGAAAGTTGTCCAAAAATGGATTAATTCCTCCACACGCGTGCGCATTTTTGTAGACAGAAACATTAAAACATTAAATAAATACATTCTTGTTTATAATATAAGTTCTTGTTTTTAATTCAAGTTTATAATATAAATACACTTTATAAGTGTTTTTTGCATTTCTTTTTTTCCTTAAATAATTTTTTTTTTGATAGATGATTAAGATAATTAGTTACATAAGAAATTAATTAATAATATAATATATTTAAAACACATATATAATTAGTTAATTTTTTTAAATTGTAAAAATGAAAGTTTTTAGTTTTTTATAAACTTTGATTGGTATTGAAAACTTTTATGCATATATTTTAGGAGGCGGGGTAATCTAATAAGAGCTTGTTGATGGAACTGCCACCATACTTGACATGCATATTTTTTATTTATTTATTTGTTTAATTTTTTTTCTTCCTTTCTCTGTTTACATAACATAAGAATTTTATAAATTCCACTACATAATATAAAATTTAAAAAAATGAGTAAAACAGATAGGGGCTCAAAGAAGATGAGGATGACAGAACGCAATCTTTTCATAGAACCCCTTTAATAAGATTTAATTAAAATATCGTAATATGATATACAAAATAAAAATTTCAATAAAATATCATAACAAAATGCGTAATCCGCTAATAAAATTTGTCAAGCAACAAACAAAAGTAGAAACAAAACAAAAACATATTTTAGAGAATTTATCCAAAAAATTAACAAAAAATGTGTTTCATTAAGTGAGTTCGTTAAGTTCATTCTTGAATGAACTTAACGAACTCACCGTACCTTTGAACCCTTTTTGAAAAATATTCCATACTTTTGGACCTCGATATAAAATGCTGTATTCTGAATATTTATTTATTATCCTAGGCAGTTTATATGTGTTCGACATATTCGCTCTAAGATTATAGATATCATTATATTTTTTATATCATTATTATCATTATATATCATAGATATATCATAGATGCAAGCCAAAAATAGCATATATATATATATATATATATATATATATATATATATATATATATATATATATATATATATATATATATATATATATATATATATATATATATATATATATATACACAGGGGCCGTCTTAAACGGGGGGTGCAAGGGTGTCCCCCCCCCCTCATTAAAGCTGTTATATATAGCACATTTGAACATTTAGCATTTCAGTTCGCAAATTTTGAAGTATAGTTGGCAAATGTTAAATATCGAAGAAATTTTTTTTCGTGTTCCTAATTGACAAAAAGCACATACAACCCCCACCCCCCTATAAGAGACCTCTTCGGGACGGTCCTGTATATATATGTATATATATAATTATTTATGTGTATGTTATTAATCTTTAATTCTTAAAATCTTTTTTAATAACAATTTTATTAATTTAGGTTTTTACTGATTTACAAAAATATCTGTTAGAGCAATATGTCACAAATACTTCTGATATTTATAATGGACTGATATTTATTATGATCTCCTAAGTAAATAAGGAAGCTAGTTTTCCAGTATGGAAAAGTAAATAATATAAAAATGCCACATAATTGGAGACCTTAGAATGAAAACCTCAATGTAAACGGTTGATAAAGTGGAAGAAAAAGCAGTGTATTTTATGAATATTTTTTACTTATAAGTAACAATAAATAAAAAATTAAAGATACGAAGCACAAAATACAAAGCATTATAAAGAAACTGAAATATTATAACTAAAATATTGTGTTATTTAAATATGAATGCTAATCTCTGTCAGTTAATCTCTCGCTATCATCTTCATCAGCATCTACCATAAGACAAATTTTCATGAAAGTAGGCATTTTGAGGATTTTGTAAATATTTACGGTTTCATAACATCCCTTTTTTTCCCCCCTTTTTTCGGTATCAAATCATTATCGGAAAGTTAGTAGGAAATTGTTGTAGGTTTCTGTTGTTGTTTTTTACTTGTCGTAGTTTAAAATTTTTTCTATAATTTTCCCTAAAGTAGTGCTTAAGCATCTTTTATATTAAAAAGTGTTTTGGCTTTTTAAGAATGAAAGGTTTTAGTGTTTTCCCTACGCCCATAACAACCTTATCCCAATCTTTAGGTATATTTGTCAAGATTATTTTTCTTGCATTGCTAAATAGATGGAAGTCTGTATCATTTGGCAAAAATTGGTCTCATATAGGAAAAATGTGAATTACTCGACCAATTTTTTTAAGTACATGTACGACCATATACCAAAACCAAATCATGACCAAATTTTTATTTTGTCCAAAACACCCATTACTCAAAATATACAGGGTTTTCATACCCTGTGGCAAATATTTATTTAACCAGTGGTGCAACATTGGTGTTATATCATTTTGCCCATGTTTCGCCACTCCTTTATAATAAGAATACATGAAAACATAATTTCGGGCTAAATCATGTATTTCAAATATATAGTACCATAACTGCCTAGAATAGAACGCAGCATTTGTAAGCATATTTGGTAAAGGCAAATTTTGGATGAAGTTGATTAATATAACAGTAATATCAGTAGAAGAGCTCCCTAGTAGTTTTAATTGTCGCTTTTTATTTGTAAACTCTTGAGCTATTGCCAAATGAAGCTTGTATTCTCCAGCTTTTGTTTGTCTTCTTCAGGAAAATCAAAATCTTGAAGTTTTGTTTTAACAGAATCACAGTATTAACATGTGTCACTGCCGGGAGATCCAAAGGATAAGGGGTACTTGGTTGTATAATTTAACGCTTTATATTATACCTAGAATCGTTGCTAACAATTTTAGCCGGAAGATACTTTTCTACATGATTAACATGACCAGCACCCTTTAGTTTTGCAATTTTAAATAAATTCTACTTGTTGTGGTTAATTTTCCTCTTCCTGGGTTTTTCAGACAATTGAATTCTTGAACTTTCGTTTATAAACCCTGCAAAAACTTATAAATAACCAGAGAACATCATTCATAAATGTCAAAAAATAACTGATTATACCGCCGTGTGAAATTTAAACCATTTTAAATGGTGCTCCTTATGGAAGTGTGGGAGCTGGAGACTTGTCTGTTAGGATGAGCCAAGTTCAATTTTTTCAAAGTTTTTGTCTTTTTCTCGTCATTTTGTCAAAATAAAAAAATAAAAACTTGTTTTATTGTTATTAGACAATCATGATTTTCCCTTTTCAATAGAAGATTTTGACTGTTTTAAAGAAAATGGGATATCGGTTTGTTCATTTCCTTCTCATTTCCTTCCTGCAGCCACAAACTGCAGCCTCTAGAGAGCAAGGTATTTGGAGCTTTTAAAAAATACACAAACACAGCGTGTGATGCATAGATGACAATGCACCCTGGTTCCATGACTACTTACACTATATCAGTATGCAATTCATTTTCATTAGCATGTATCCCTAATAATATCAAAACCGATTTTAAAAAAATCCAAAATTTTCTCACCAAATGTTAATAATTTTAGTGAACATGAACATCATGAACGTGAACATTGCTGACCTATAGTAAAAATATACCAAATCCAAAACTATGCTAACTTGACTTTATAATATCAGAAAAAGGTATGCAGATTGGTTGTTCAAAAGATTTAGAGTCATTTTCTGATGTTTTAAATTCAGACAATGATATATAATCTGCAGAGTTATCTATAGTTCTATCCTCTGAAGATTTGAGACCATTTAAAAAAGATGAACTAAGAAATATAAACTAAAAAAGAGTTTTAAATAAAAGAAATAGAATTACATCAACGCTGATACATTCAACAAATTTAAATGTGTTAAAAAAAAAAGAATCTGCTAAAAAAAAGTTAGAAATAGAAATGAGAAAAAAAAAAAGTTAAAAAATGAGTAAAAGTTTAACTGGTAAAAGAAGTTTATACTTAATGCAAAAAAATCTGAATTGTAGAAATCTTTTTACAGAGAGTTTTTTTGTTGGATTTGTGTTGAAATGTTTTCTTAAAGTAAAACAGAGGAAGTCTGGATTCAATGCACTAAGCTTCACTTTTGGGCTCAAGTATCCAGTGTAACCAGTAACTAAAAAGATTTTTTGTTATTAATAAAATTGTAACTATTTAAATTGTATAAAAAATGTAGTGATAGAATCAATTTATTGTTTTTACTTTTAATTACTATATTTGCTCTTTTGCTTTAAAAATCACAATGATGCGATTCAAAAGTATATATTCACAAAATATAAGTTTATTTGGTTTAACAAAATATAATTAAT